CTCACTCTGTTGCCCAGGCTAGAGTGCAGTGGTGTAATCTCAGCTCACTGCAACCTCTGCCTCCGACTACAGGTACATGCCATCACGTTTGGCTAATTTTTGTGTTTTTAGTACAGACAGGGTTTCACTATGTTGGCCAGGCTGGTCTCGAACTCCTGAACTCAAGTGATCCACCTGCCTCAGCCTCCCAAAGTGCTGGGATTACAGGTGAGAGCCACCGCGCCTGGTCAGGCATCCATATTTTTAAAAGCGCTCAAGATGATTCCAATTTGCATCAAGGTTGAGAACTGGGCCATTGCCCTGCCAGATCATCCTCCCTTCATCCTCCATCCCTCCCCAGCTGCCTCTCAACTCCCTTCTGATCTGGCTCCAAACATCACTTCCTGAAGGAGGTCTTTTTGAATCCTCAGACTCTGTCATGTATATCTGGGATACAATTTCATGGTTTCCTATGCCTTTTCTTCACGGCACTTCTCTTTGTTTGTGATTCTATATACTGCAGAATTATTCCATCAAGGTTGATCTCCAGTAGAATGTCGCTCCACAAGGACAGGGCTAGTGCCTGTTTTCATCCACCAGGGCTTACACAAAGTAGGGGCATGGAAAGTGTTTGATGACTGAATGAATGAATGCAGACTAATTGGAGAGAAACAGTCTTCAGAAAAAGGCAAAAGTCACATTCTGGCTGGCAGAAAAGCACCAGAGCAAGAGCCATCCAACAGGAAGTGAGGAAAGAGAAGAAAAGATGGGGACTGAGAAGAAAAATAAGTGAGGATCCCTTCTTCTGGGAAAATAGCAGGGGGTGGGTTTGGAGGCCAGCCAGTCATTGGTGTCAGGTAGTATGACATCTGCGGCAGCCAGGGCCTGGGAACACAGTTCACAGATACAGAAGGGCAGGAAATGAAATGACCCCAGGGGAGAGATCCGGCCAGGACCCCGGGGAAACCACTGCAGCCGGGAAGGAGACTGAACCTTCCCGAGCGGGTTGACACGTATGCCTACAATCAGAATGCTGACGGCACGAGGGGAATGGAGCTGTGCCAACATCTTATCCTAAGCTCTGCTTGTCTGTTCTAACAAGAAGTACAAATATAATTCTGTAGGAAGAGTTCCAGTGTGTGCTCTGATATCTTCAGAAGAGCCCAGAGAGACAGGGAGTCCACCAGCCTAGGAATAACCACTTGGGGAAACTGAAGTGGAAAAGCTCTGTGACCAAGAATATGAGGGTGGGATTGCAGCAGTCTTCCAGAAGCCTCTGTGACCCCAACAACTCCTCCAGAACCGTGGCCTGAGAGACAGTCAGGAGTTTGTCCCATTAGCTGCTGATGAATGGTGAGGCTGAGATTTGAATTCATGTTTGACTTAACACTATGCTGTTCAAAAGACAAACGTCCAAGAATACTGATGCTCTCAGGAAGCCAGCAATTCCCAGGTACCACGTTGATTCACTTATACTCTGTCTGGGTACAGGAAGGACTCGGCCAAATTTGTAATTTGATTATTGCAAATTACATCCTAAAGGCATTTTGCCTTTATTCCCTTCCCACCTCTTAGCCCCTCTTTCCCTCTAACTCAGGTAAGTACAAAGCTTTCACCTTTTCCACCTCTCCCAGCACCATCCAGTCCCACAGAACTGGGCACCAGAAACTGAGGTCACCTCCTGACAGGACGCGGCAGGGAGCCTGCTGCCACCACTGCAGTGTCCCTGCAGCTTCCTCCCAGTTGCTGGAGGGTGTCCATTACCCCTGCCTGTTTTCTGCCAGGCTACACTGAAGGACACAGCAACCTGAACTTCCCCACCCTGACCTCTGGGGGATCATGTCTTGGCCGGGTTTCATCCCCACCCCCTGCAGCCAGAGGACCCGGCTCTCCATCTTTGCCCAGGCAGCCTCCCACTTCCATTGGCTGCCTCGGTGGGAAAAGATCAGCAGAGGGGAATCTAAGAGAAGGCAGAGAAACCAGCACAACAACCTCTAGAGGTCGCCTGGCTGACACTCACAGGAGTCATGGACCGATTCTGGACCAGGGTGGCCCCCAGTCAGTGCTGTGACCTTGCAGGCATCACTTCTCTTTGAGGTTCAAGATTCTTATCTCTAAGAGGAGGGTAGGACTAGACCAGGGGAGTTTTAATCTGTGGTCTGCAGAGGCCGAGGCTATCTCATGATGGCCTTGGGGCAGGGGTTCTGGAACCCGGGGAAACGGGGTGCAAAACCTTGGGTGTAGCTATACAGAGTTGTTTTCCCCCCTAGGAGTGAATCTGGGACTTTTATCAGACTGTCAAAGGTAATGTCAGGAGTGAATCTGGGGGGCCTAGTCCAACTCTGGATGATTATCCAGCTGGTCCCAAACACAGGGATATCTTATTTACTTATTGATTTATTTATTTATGAGACAGAGTCTCACTCTGTCGCCCAGGCTGGAGTGCAGTGGCGAGATCTTGGCTCACTGTAACCTCCGCCTCCCAGGTTCAAGCGATTCTCCTGCCTCAGCCTCCTGAGTAGCTAGGATTACAGGTGCCTGCCACCATGCCCGGCTAATTTTTGTATTTTAAGTAGAAATGGGGGTTTCACCATGTTGGCCAGGCTGGTCTCAAACTTCTGACCTCAAGTGATTCGCCCACCTCAGCCTCCCCAAGTGCTGGGATTATAGGTGTGAGCCACTGCACCTGTCCGGATAGCTCTTTTTAACTCCTTCCTCGCCCTCTCTCCCCACCCCTCCAAAATTTTCCAAAGAGCAGGATTATTTATTGCCCCATCTTCTCTTTCCTCTCTTCAGCCCCCTCACTCAGGAAGGCTCCTCAGAAAGGAAGTGACTCAAAGGATGGAATTGGGGGCAGGGGCATCAGTCCAAAGAGATGGCCCCATCCTGCTTGGCTCCTAAGGAGATGGACTGTGAACCCACAGAACCTCTGCCTGGGAGCCCCTGCAGGAAGCAGCCCTATCCACCCACATACCATGTGCCACTGGGGATGTGAAGCTGACTCAGCCGCTGACACTGCCCTCAAGGATCTAGCAAGAGGATGAAACACATCTGCAGAAACGTTACCAATGGAGAGGCCATAACAGAGAGGCAATATGTGACCAGGGCTCGGGGGGGGGGTGGTGATCTATCCTGTTAGGGGCCAAGGAAGGCCTTACTGAAAAGAGAACTTCGAAGGAAGAGAGAATTTCATTGGATGGACAGGAGGCGAGAGGAGTGCCATGTCAGGCCATGTGGACCCAGAGAGACCATAGGAATAGCTCCAGCTCCATAGATGGCATCCTCTGAAGGGTAGAGGGCAGGGTGTGATTGGGCAGAGGCTGGGGTAGTCGAGGGAGAGGGAGGTGGGCATACTGGGTGGAAGAGAGGGAGCTGGAAGGCCAGGGAGAAAAGGTATGACTCTGTGGGGCCTGCTGAGAGGACAGGATTGCAATACACAGAATACTGACAAGACAAGAGAAACAGCGGGCACCGAGGAGCTGCTGACAGCTCCAGCCTAGCCCTTCTCATCCATCCCCCAGCCTCAGGAGGGAACCAGAGTTCAGGTCAGGTGAGGGTTGGTCTTTACACAGAGATAAACACAGTGAGACCATTAAGATCCCAGTCCACTACAGACCTCCCACGCATCCACACATCACATGCCCCTGGACTACTCCTCAGTATTTTTTTGTTTTGTTTTGTTTTTGAGACACAGTCTCGCTCTGTCGCCTAGGCTGGAGTGCAGTGGCGCGATCTTGGCTCACTGCAAGCTCCGCCTCCCGGGTTCACGCCATTCTCCTGCCTCAGCCTCCTAAGTAGCTGGGACTACAGGTGCCGGCCACCACGCCCGGCTAATTTTTTGTATTTTTAGTAGAGACGGGGTTTCACCATGTTAACCAGGATGGTCTCGATCTCCTGACCTCGTGATCTGCCCACCTCGGCCTCCCAAAGTGCTGGGATTACAGGCGTGAGCCACCACGCCCGGCCTACTCCCCAGTTTTGTGAGCCCCTAGGTACCCCAGGGGCCAAGAGAGTCCCTTCCGAAGGCACAACCCAGACCTCAGGCCATGCTCTCAGTCTCTGGGGTTGGTAGCTCATAGTCATGGGACTCCAGGGCGACATCCTGCCTTCCAGGACCATGGAGTATGAGGACTAGTTGAAAGGACCCTGATTCAGAGCATCCAGCCAATTCCAAAACTGAATTATGGAGTGTGGGCACGTGGCCTGGGTTGCATCTCAGACCTGATTCCCCTAACAACATGGAAACAGGTGCCACAAACATAAGTTATTACCCATACTAATCAATGTGTGTTCTCCCAGTATTTCCTTCCTCCTCTCCCTATTTCAAGGAGGTAGCAAGAGTTCGTGCTTTCTTGCCCTTGCTAAAAGCAGGTAATATTGGAAACAAACTTTTCTTTCTGCCTTCTGTTCTCTGAAGGACAAAGCTCCTAACTGGGGTGCTGGTATATGAGGAGTATCAGGAAGGAGGGAGTCAGGGATGGAAGATGAGAGACTTCCTAGACAGGGACAGGAGAGTATCCTGGGGAAGAGACAGGTCTCAGAAAGAATGGTTGTGGGGTGCTCCTTGGACAGTTGAACTGTGGGGACCAGGACTCCCAGACTTGAAAATGTTCTGATACCCACGTATGGCATAGGAACAGCAGCCACCAGGTATCTGTGGACCACAGGGACTTGGGTGACAAGTCTATTTCTATTTCAACTCTATTTCAGAGGTGACTGGAGTAGACCAAAGGTTGGAGGGACCTTCCCTGATATTTTTCTGCCATAATTCACCAGGATCTTTGCCCAACCCATTAGTGGTTGTTGGAGGAGTAGTGACAAAATCCTAATAATGCCTGAATTAAATGTTTTGGCATCCTAGCAGGTTGGACTCTCAGAGCCAGATTTAACTTAGTTTAAAGGATCTAACAAAATATGACATTTCTTGCCCATCTCATGACGTGGCTGCAAATGTATTTCCATAAACACAGGAGGAGGGGGAATACACTATGGAATTATAAATGTCTTCGTTTTCTTAAGAAAAAAGTTGGAATAAAAATTGTTTGGATTCATTTTGTATAACTGAAGACAAAAAAATGTTGCAGTCAACAAATGATCTTCTTGATACTGTCTTTATACAGTTGATGTGCTGTGAAAGCCCCTACCATGAGCTGACAAAGGAAAGAAATAAAGGGCTTAGCTAATAAAATTGAATGAGGTAAAAGAAGGAAGCAGCGGCTGGGCATGGTGGCTCATACCTGTAATCCCAGCACTTTGGGAGGCCAAGGTGGGCAGATCACGAGGTCAGGAGTTTGAGACCAGCCTGACCAACATGGTGAAACCCCATCTCTACTAAAAATACAAGAATTAGCCAGGTGTGGTGGTGGGCACCTGTAATCCCATCTACTCAGGAGGCTGAGGCAGGAGAATCACCTGAACCTGGGAGGCAGAGGTTGCAGTGAGCCAAGATCGCATCCGTAGGTGGGCAGATCACGGTCAGGAGATCGAGTAC